TCACCCTCCTCTGCCCTTCACTCTCCTCTGCCCCTCACTCTCCTCTGCCCCTCACTCACCTCTGCCCTTCACTCTCTGCCCCTTACTCTCCTCTGCCCTTCACCCTCCTCTGCCCTTCATTCTCCTCTATACTTCACTGACTTCATTGACCTTCAACCGAGTTTTCTCCTCTTCTTGAGATAACCCTCCTTCATTTACTGGGAAGTGTTGCCTAGTTTGGCACCTTGTAAGACCCTTTCGTGGTATCCAAATAGGGTCAGAGGAGATCAAACATTCACCCTTCACAGATGATATGATTGTATATCTGAAAAACCCCAGGGATTCAACTACAAAACTCCCAGAACTGATCAAAGAATATGACAATGTCTCAGGATACAAAATTAATACTCACAAATTTGTAGCCTTTATATATACGAACAATAGCCAAGGGGAAAAAACAATCAAGGACTCTATTCTCTTTACAATAGTGTCAAAGAAGATGAAATATCTGGGAGTGTATCTAACAAAAGTTGTGAAAGATCTCTATAAAGAGAACTATGAAACTCTGAAGAAAGAAATAGCTGAACATGTTAACAAACGGAAAAATATACCATGCTCATGGCTGGGAAGAATCAACATTGTTAAAATGTCTATACTTCCCAAAGCAATTACAGATTTAATGCAATCCCTATTAAAGTACCACTGTCATACTTTATATATCTAGAAAAATTAGTACTTTGTTTTATATGGAAACAGAAAAAAACCTCGAATAGCCAAAACATTACTCAGAAATAGAAACAAATCAGGATGTATCACACTACCAGACTTCAGATTATACTACTATAAATCTACAGTGATCAAAACAGCATGGTACTGGCACAAAAATAGAGAGGTAGATGTGTGGAACATAATTGAAAACCAAGAGATGAACCCAGATGCATACTGTCATTTGATCTTTGATAAGCCTATAAAAAATATAAATTGGAGGGAAGATTCCCTATTTAACAAATGGTGCTGGGTGAATTGGCTGGTGACTTGTGGAAGACTAAAACTGGACCCACACCTTCCTCCTTTAACAAAAATTGACTCTCACTGGTGAAAGGACTTAAACTTAAGACATGAAACTATAAAAATTATTGGAGAGAAGGCAGGGAAAACACTTGATAAATTACACCTGGAAGAGTACTTTATGAGCAGGCACCCTGGGCAATTGAAACAATATCAAAAATACATTA